CTCTCTCTCTCTCTCTCTCGCTCGCTCTCGCCCTCGCTCTCGCTCTCGCTCTCTTTCTCTCGCTCTCGCTCTCTCTCGAAATGCCCACCCTGGAAAGAGGCAGCTGTCCTTCTGCATGTGCCAAGCACTTAGCCGTTTGTGTGCATGCCAGGGCATTACTTATTCCTCAAACCTTGTATATAATCTTCGCCTTACATTTGGTTGTGCTGTCTAATCTCATTTCTTCTTCGTTTTTTCGAGTGTGATATCTAAGTGATCCTTTTCGATAATTATTTATTTACGGATCTCAGTGATGACTGATGAGGTATTTCGCATTTTATGCAATTATTTGTCCGTTTATCTGTCTCACAAATTGTGTTAAAATATACGATTTTCGTGTTTACGCTTGCATTAATTAATTTGTATACGTTTATATTGCAATAGCTATATGAGCTGTACTGCGCCCCAATTAGGCTATACTACTTAAATTTATAAATATATATAGATATAATATATATAACATTTATTTATAAATTATTTTTTTATTGGGTAATAATTATCTTCAATTAATTTCTTGTATATTTGTATTAACTCCTATTTAGTTGTGTCATGTTACAGATTCATTCGCACGTGACTGATGACTTAATAAAATTAGCATAATTAAGTAATATATTAGACCACACGTGAATGAACACGAAAAGTTCATTATAAAACAAGTAATATGCTAACGCACACACCCGAGCAAAACTGGAGATTTTGTTTTCCAGCGTTTCGCGTTCTGCTCGGCGAGCAAGCGCACACACGCAAACCGACACAGCACACAGCTGAGCAAAACATACAGAAACACTGCGTACAGCGCCGCTGTCACATGACATAAAATAGCCATCCAATGGACATCCAATTTTGTGTGTGTCATGTCATATTTTTAAGGATATTGATTTGAGACCGCCTGTGGCGGTTCGCTGTGTGCTTAAAAAATGCTTAAACTGTAAACTAAAAATATGCTTAAACTGTAAAGCACAACGCACACACCCGAGCGAAACACCTGAACGTGGAGCAAAACATGTTTCGCTCGATGTTCGTGGCTGTGTGCGGATTCCCGAAACAAACAACATTGCTCAGCTGAGCGTGTTTCGCTGAACAAGCAATGTTTAATTCGCGGAGCGTGTTTTCGCCTGAGCGTACGTTTTGCTCGGGGGTGTGTGCGTCAATCGTTCTGCTACACGCGAAACGCCACAGGCGGTCTCCATCAATATCCTTAAAAATATCACATGACACACAAAATTGGTGTCCATTGGATGGCTATTTTTGATGTCATGTGACAGCGGCGCTGTACTCAGTGTTTCTGTATGTTTTGCTCAGCTGTGTGCTGTGTCGGGTGGCGTGTGTGCGGCATGTCAAATACTACATGAAGATAAGTAGATAAGATCAAGTTAATAGAAGTTTGGCATACCAAGGTCATTTGTGGTTAAGGTCAAGGTCATCGCCATACCGCTAACCAGTGAAACCTTGTTTTTACATGTTTCTAAAAGACTTTAGACCTAAAACGTACATGTACAATATAATGATCATCCCTAATTACATATAGTTTAAAATAGATGTAAATACCTGCTATAAAATGTAGGTAAAAGTAGGTGAGCTATATAGATGTAGGCTTAAATCAGGTTCAGGGCCAAGGTGGTTGTCAAAAGATATGCCACTACATTATATGCCCTTTTAAAAGTCTCTGGGGTCAATATTTCACTTTCAACACTTTGTATGGTAGGCCTACCAATGTTCTGAACACACACAGCCTGTACTAAGAAGAAAAATGTAAAATAAATGAAACCTTTGCACCTATCCCAAGGTGTTTGGACCACAGCCTTTGCATCGTCCCCTAGATGAAGCAAAGCGCAAGGAAAGAACTATCGAGGTTGAAGTCCCACAGCAACTTCCAATCTACAATGCTGGAAAGCGCATTGGGCCCCCACCCCGCAGTTATATCGAGGAGTTAGTCGAGGAGAACGTGATGAAACAAGAGGTTTACAAGATTACCCTACTTTGGATCCTCACTCGGTTGCATTGCAAGGCAAACCAAACTGTGAGCAGCTGGACAGGCTTCAACATACAAGTCCGCGACGAGGTTGATGTTACCCCTGATGAGGTTGGTTACCTACCAACAATAAACGCCCCTGCCACACAGCTCTCCACTGTCCAAGAGGTTCTGTGCTAGTCCCAGATGATCAGAAAATCATTAGGTCTTAGAAGCATTCTCGTTGTATTTGACCAAGCGCTCTATGCCAAAGCGAATGAGATCATTTGGAAACAAAGCGCCAACTTCTCTGAAATAATTCCTAGGTTAGGTACATTTCATACCTTGTGCACACTGTTGAACATCATAGGGAAGCGTTTCCAAGATGCAGGGTTGAGGGACCTGTGCATTGAATCTGGTGTCATAGCCGAAGGCTCTGTTGAAGGGGTTCTTGCTGGTAAGCGATACAATCGCGCAGTCAGGTTTCACAAATTGTTGTATGAGGCATTGCAGCGTCTTGCCTGGAAAGGATTTGAGACATTTGAGGGAATGGAGGGTACAAATGAAGTGGCAGGCATATCAGATCTGATTGACATGTTTTCTCAGGATGTATGCCAGGGGTCTTTCACAGAAACCCTTTATAACCCTGTCTTTGTATCCGTGGTAGAGCGTTTTCAAAGCTATCAGGATCATCTTCGCCAACATGGAGGGGCCCTAGCAACATTTTGGATGTCATACCTGGACACCGTGGATGTCATGTTAAGCATCTTGCGTGCATCTAGAGAGGGTAATTGGAACTTACATCTTTCATCCATACATGACATGATCCCATGGTGCTTTGCCTATAATAATCACAACTATGCCAGGTATCTCATCACGTACTATGCCGAGATGATGAATCTCCCGAGAAGAACACCCGGACGCCTTGGAGCACCTGAGAAATGGTGGATTTTCTGTGCAAATGGGAGCAGAAAATCCATTTGTAAGGATTCCTGTTGACCAGACCATTGAGGAGACGGTGAACAAGGACACACAGACTCCAGGAGGCACAAAAGGTTTCAGTCTCAAGCCCAATGCAGTCCACAGACACTACCTTACAGCTGAGTACAGGAGTTCGTTCCTGAGGCTATTGCGAGCTACACTTGGAAGTGAGAGATCGTTCCATCACCCTGATCTTAGTACACCAAGAATCAAGAGGGATGAACGGGATGTTTGTGCGCTAGTTGAAATGCTTGAGGGGAACTGGACCAATCTATTTGATGTCTCTGAGCTTATCAGCATCTCTACCGGCATTGTTGCACCTGCCAATGTAGCGAAAGACCTCCTAGAAGCCAAGGATAAAGGTGTCACTGCGTACAAGGAGTTCCATCAGGATAGACTGGGTATGGATGCCAAGAAGGACTTCTTTGAGCCACTGAAGCGGCAGAAACTAAAGACGTTCAGTAACTTGAAGGTAAAGAGGACCTATCAAACTCAGGGGGATGGATTCCTTTCGCATGCATCTCTTCCCATATGGGCGCATTGATAGTTTGCTCTGCTGCAATGGATTAAGCAAGCAGGAGTGTCGCAGGTGGAAGTTCGCCAAAGATGTCCACCTCGGCCTTACTTTTGCGCAGGAAGCAGATGATTGGATGAAGTGGCGCAATTCATGTTTATGTTGTGAGTGGCCGTCCTCCGCACTGTAAGAGGTCCACATGTCAGTGCCTCTAAGTCTTGAAACAGTTTCTGCTGAAGACATCCCATGAGCTGGCCTAATCCGGGCTCTTAGAGGATTCAGTGTGTCGCTCAAGGTTCAGCAAGCCGAAGATGCTGAAACCTTACCGCCCGCCAGCACAGCTGCTAACGGTGTCGCACCGCTGTAAACAGAGTGTAGACCAAGGAGGCATAGCAGAACATTTGTCGAGACCCAAGGGGTATCTGCGGCTTGCTTAACCCTCGACATACTCAGTGCGGGTCGTTGGACCCAGTTCCCTGCGAAGTATAAGGTGCGCATGTTAAACTGTGGTGTAAATGCATTGTCCAGAATGAAGCAGCACAGTGCATGCACAGTGCGTGTATGCAGGTGCGTGGATGCGTTGGTGCAGGGATGCAGCACACAGTGCTTGGCCAATGGAGAAGGTTAGTTCTGCGATCTGCTTCTTCCTTGGGCTGCTTGGTGAGGGCGAGGAGATCGGTCAACATTCAGAGATAGAGTTCTTTTTTTGTAAGTCTGGTGCATTGCGGGTCTCCAATGGGGTAAGTCAAATCCAGCTCGCTGGCCATCCCAGCTCTGTCGAGATTCTCATGCCTCCGAGTCATTCACGCCAAGATAGTCAATGAGTTCGGTGGAGTGTTGTTTGTTACGCTGCTCTGTACAGAAAGCCTCTTCCACTTGTTTCATTCTATGCGCCCAACATGCAATGTTATACATATGTCATAGCCACTTCCTTAGACCCTCTATTAGAACGCTCAGCGTTTCTCTTATAGAGTTCTGCGTACACGTCAAATAACACACATCGATTGCGGCGGTTGACCTTCCCTCCCTGAAAGGGACTCGCGAGAGAGGAAGTTTTTGAGGCTTCTCCAGAAGAAGTTTGCTTGAATTGGCCAGCAGGCTTCTGAAAGCCAATGGCGCAGTACCATCAATGATTGCAGGGCCGAGTTTGCAGGATAGTATCTGCAGGTGCCAAGATTTTTCTTTGCACACCGTTTTGCGATAGCAATCGCCTTGGCTTCGTCTTGCCGCAAGGTTATCTTCAAGGTTTGCTAAAGCCCAGGGTATGGGGCCAAGCGAATAGGAACAACACGTCCTTCGAATGTCAAAGCTGTTCGTGTTTTACCTATTAGAGGCTCATCTTTAGCAAAGAGGTTCCGACCGGCATTATGATGGTCGGGGC